ACCCTGAGATCCTGAGATCTTAGATCCGTCGAACCGTCGACCCTACCAGGCAGAGATCCTCCCCGCTGCGTTTTCTACCTCCCAGTTAGTCCTTTTTCGTTTTCACAATGCATCTGATCCCGTGCCTCGCCTTAATGAAACTGGGAAAAATGCAATAAAATGAAACGAAATCCGAGAGATCTTGATCTGGATCTTGATCCGAATCTGAATCCGAGTGCAAGCACTTGCCACTGCACTCTGAACTCTGAAGCAAGGGGCAGCCCTGGCTTTTTCCGGCTACTGGTCTTTTTTTTCGTGAGTCTGATCTTTTGACATTTATATTGATTTAAACTGGTTTCGAGTTTGGCTTAGGAGTGGCTGGATTTTGTTTAAGGAAATTGATAATTTTTTGCATCTTTATAGAGGATTTATTTATTAAAGGGATCTCCTTATATTGTTTAACCATTTTGAAGGATAAAATAATTGATACAGAAGGAAGAAAAATAACACGATAGCCCAATTTTTTTTAGGACATACATTTTTAAACGATTTATAATCATTTATATCTCTACCTATTATTAGTATTTACAATCATTAAATTAATATATTTAATATTATTCTGTAGGTTATGAATATTCATTCCTAGCCTTTTCCTTTACTTTCCTATTTTAATTCCCTCTTTTGGAAAAACCACTCCTTGGACTTTGATGGACCGTTGCCTGGATACGAGTTGCTTAATCAGGCTACTTTTGCCACGCCCACACTCGTCGGACTGCCCACACACCCACATAATTCCTTGACGTCCTCCTTCTCCTCCGCCAACCACCACCCCTCCGTTGCTGGCACGCCCCATCCCCTCGATTTGAAATCCCCCCAAACGGCCACAAGCCCCCATTGAAGACAATAAAAGACAACGGCTGAGGCTAATGAAATTTACTGGCTCGAAAGGAAAATGTGCACTAAAAAAAATTAATTAATTCAGTAAATAATATAAATGCTAGAGCTTAAACGTATAAAGTTAGTTAAAATATGTACATGTACGGTTGGTTTTCACATTCAAGATTATATAACATTAAAGATACTGTTAGTTTTATAATAATATCAATAATAACATAAAATATTGTATTTTTTGTTAAAAGGCGTTAAGTTCTATATTTCTCTCTATATTTTGTTTGTTTTGAAGTTAATGCTGAAAATATTAAATGGAAATAGAATAAAAATAATCTTTTTAACTTCTAATTACCTTAAAAAAAACAAAAATATTCTCAAAATTAATACTTGCACCAATTATAGTTCTTATCTAGAGCTATGGGGTTAACCTTTCGTACGTGTTTGTTGTAGGTGAAATGCGTACGATTGTTGCGTTCGACAATGGAAAATTGCCCATATATGTATATCTTATGGATTATACCAAAACTTATATCTAATATTAAGTTATATCTTTATTATATCTAAAGATATAAGCCTTTAACCCTTTCAATCCTTCGCTGTAAGGAATTTTTAAAAATGTAAGCTTTTTTGTATATGTTATTCTAATCATATAAGTTCATTATATATGTATATGTTCATCTGATAAAAAGATTCCAAAGTTATACATTAGTTTTTTCCCATGTCAGAGTGGCGTTACCGTAAAATGGATAACATTATAATATGCTTATTCCGCTTAATAAATTAACTAAGAACTTAAAGCAAAATATACCTTTTTTTTACATTTTAATATATGGAAAAATTTAATAAAATCTTTAAAATAGCACCAACCTTTTTCTTGCGGTGTGTCTTGCAGGAGGGAGTTATCCCCATGTTGCATGCCACGCGCCTACGACAGAGGCTAATGAATGTGCCGCCGCACACAGTTGCAGGGCAATAAAAAATCAGCCAAACGAATTGTCGTTAATCAGCCGGCGCAAAAAAAAAAGTAAAATTGAAAAAATGGGAGGAATAAAATCCCAAAAAAAAATGGGGAAAAAACGCGAAAAAAGTTATGAAAATAAGACGAAGGCGAGTAGTTCCCTGCGTTTCTAGTTGGAAACTCGCAGTCGGCAGAACCTGTACACCCACACACCCCACTAGACCCCCTCTACTTCTCCGCCCCTCAACCTCTCCGCCTCTTATTTTTTTATGATTACTTTTTTTTTTTGCCCGCAAAGCAATCAAAACTGTCGCCTATGAAAAATGTTTTGGGGCAAATGGCGGCGAACTTTTCGCGGATGGCGAGTTGCAAGAAATATGAAAAAAATGGCACAAACACATGGACACCCACCCACACACACACTCTTACCCGCACATATGCGGGAGTGGGCGCTCAATTTTGATTTTATTCATTTTTGAATCGTTTTTTTTTCCTGACTCGATTTCCTTTTTTTTGGTTTATATTTTTTTTGTGTTGCATGGTCGTAGTTTTGTTTCTTGAGGAGTTTTGTTTTTTAATGCCAACTATGTTTTGGTTCCAGTGGAGTTAAGGTAATGTAGATACAAAAATACATTGTCGGAGCCTTCAGGTACATTTTTGAGGGAAATTTTTTTTTAAAAAAGTTATAAGTTATAGTTATAAGTTTATTTTTGAAATGTTTATATTGATTTAAATTTATTATTATGTATTCCCAATAAAGGATTTATATATTTTTAAGGGAATGTTACAAATTGTTGTAATTATTCGTTGTCAACATTTTTATTACATTAATATAATTATGTTTTTTTCTCATTTTATTTAGTTGTTTCAAACTATATACGATTCATTATGTAATGTACAGTATGAAAAATGTGATTTATTTCTTTTTCTATGACCCATAAAAAATGTTCTTTTTAACTTTTTCTTAAAGTTTCAATCGACAAATGATTTTAATTTGTATCCCAAAACGAGAATAATTTTTCACAACTTTTACGGTTTAAAAATATTTATTCGTTTCAGTTTTTCATGAATTTTGTTTGTATTTATATTTTTTTTTGTTTGAGGGGCCCCAAATTGTATGCTAAGCTGCGATAACTGTAGACACACAAATACATATATTTGTGTATATGTATTTCGATGCAAACCTTCCTATCCCCAGTGGCGGGTAATTGCCTCATGTTTCATCTACACATCAATTAGCCGCAACAATTTAATTTTCCCGCTTCAAAATGGGAAAAGTGCGAGAGGAAAACAACAATTTGAACAAGAAAAATCCATAAAATATTTGTGCAACATTTTCTGGCCAGCCCTCCCCCTCCCCAATGTGCGTGCGAGCGAGAGATCCGAACAACTGTCGTCAGCTATTTCAAATTGTCGTAAAAATTTGATAAGGTTTTTTTCCCGCCAGTGGCCCGTCCCTATGGCGCCCACCCAACTACTCCCCTCGACAGTTTTTTCCTGCGTCAGCTAACAAAGCAAAAAGAAAAAAGTTGGGCAAAAAAAAAACTAACAGAATTTGTTGTTGCAAGCACTTGGTATATCATTTACAGTTACGCTGCCCGAGGGGATTCACTTTTGAGATTCTTTTACAGCAAAAATTACACTTGGTGCCTACTTGAAAATTAAATGACATTTTCTTATTTCAATACTTAATTGTGTTGATTAATTAAGAAATTCTTTAATAAAATAGATTTTTAAATTTTTTTAACAAATTACATGTATTCGGTTTTTCTACCTTTGATATACATATTATGTACATATAATGTTACATATTAATATGTATTATTGTATTTTTAGATTAATTCTCTTACTGACTACTAACGTTTGTTTGTAGCACTTGGCCCTATCATCTACAGATAAAGATTCAGATAGATTTAAGACAGCAACTATTTCACAATGTTTTTCATTAAAAATGTATGCTATACCTCAAATATGATGATTTTAAAACATTATTTCGTATTAATAATACAATTTACATGAAAGAATAATTTTATTTAACTCTTTGACAAAAGATGTATGAAATATTTAAAATATTTCCCATTTACGCTTACCCATTTTTCAATTTAAGAATATGTATTTTAAAAATGTAAGTAATTCCAAGTTTCTGGGTCAAAGCTCTCCCAAAAATTACTCATACGACCTGTTATCCAGAATATATTTTTTGTATTTCAGTCTATTTATTGATGAAACAATTCAACTAGACCATCAAATTCTTTGGTTCTGTCTTTGGGTATATGATAATTGAACAATGGGTCTGCCCATTGTGAAAGTGAGTGGGCCAGCTCCAAGTGTGTGTGACTGGCCCCGCTCTCGTCCTGTCTACCCCCTTGCTGGCTCCGCTGGCTGTTTGTTGTTTGGGTGTTCTCGGTGTGTGCATGACAATTTTGCGACGTCGTGCCACAAGAAGGCGAATAAGAAGCAGAACGACCAGAGTACTGACCAGCGTCCTTTGCACCACCCCACTCCACCCCCTGCCTGGCCGCCTCGTTCTCTTATCTTTGCTGTTAGCTAACAAATTTTAGCGTTGTTTTCTATTGCTTATTTTCGCTGGCGTGTGTTTGGGTTGCCTTGTCGTTTTCATTAAAATTTCATTGCTGGCGCGCAAAAATATGAAGGGAGCTCGGTATTTTATTTATTCTTTTTTTTTGTTGCTTGTTGTTTTGGTTTTTTTTTTGTGCTACCAACAAAGTTGTTGAACTGAAGGCAGCATGTATTTTTTTGGGGTGTGGTTCCATACACACACTCACGCACACACACATGCTTGTGAGGGAAAACAGCAACAACTCTGCTGTAAATACAGCTCCTCAGTGGGCGATTGAGCAGCTCTCTCGCTCTGTCTCCCGGACCGAATGACACGGCGCGAGAGGGATGGCGAGAGCGAGCCGGCCGAAAAGAGATGAACGCTTCACGGGTGGTGCGATACGGGCATCTCGCTCTGGCGCACGTCCAGAGGCGCCAGCTCCAGGGGTCAGCCATTGCTAAAAATCAACGCCGGAAACACAGGCTCTCTCGCTTGCTCCGCAGCCGGTAGTTGTTGTTTTTAGCAGCGGGTCCCGGTACTGGTTTGCTGCTGCCGCAACTGCTGCCGTTCTGCTCGCTGCGCTGCTGCCGCCGCCACCGTCGTACGCTGGAGGTGTCTCGCAATTCATTTCCAGAGTAACTTTCGTGCCGCTCGGGTTGTTTTTGTGCGTCCGTCGCTCATACACGCTCGTTACCGTTAAACGTTGCCGTACCCGTGACCGTAACCGCCTGACGCTCGTTGCCGCTCGCAGTTAGTATTCGCCGCGTTCGCCGCAGCAGTAGCAACAAGAGGGCATCGTCGCCAAAAACCCAAACACACACAAAACACAAAGAAAGCCTAACAAAACTAGCGGTAAACAAAAACCAAACACAAAACCCAGATATCATCAGAGATACAATATCTCTCGGATACAGGATATACATATGGAAGTGTGCCAGTGATTTTTTTATGGTGTCCTCAGTGCCAAAACGAAAAGAAAAGTCCAAAGCCATATAAACATCAACAATAATCGAAAATAAACAACTGGAATACTGAAATATCTCAGAGGTCTATCTGCGGACGAAGATATATCCGAAGTATCTGCCTGGATCTTGTTTCAAGTCCATATCGCCACTTGGAATAACAGCAACGATTTTGGTTCTAGTTTTGTTTGTTTTTTTTTCGGTGAGTGCGCCCACCGATCCCACCAGATCGGCCCAAACCCCATTATACTGCCCATATCCCGCCCATATCCATCCGATTTATCCCGGATGGCGGGCCATAACGGATTATAATGCTTGGGATTAACTAGAGGATCGGTAGACTTAAGTAGTTCCAGCGACGGGGGCTCAGATTGTTTTAATCGGGAGGAGTACTAAAGGTTTTCCAAAATTCGTTTCAATATCTTAGGGATTGGTATATCTGAAAGCTAAACTATCAGTTTATATTCTTTGATCTGTTGAAGTGGGAGTATTTTTGTATCTTGGGGTTTAACTTTTGAAAGGATTTGTTCGACCTAATTAGTTTTCGATTCATCAAATACCTTATGATATTTACTTCATTCTTCATATTTTTACTACTTAACTCGTTAGTTATGATGTTTCGAAAAGATAGATAACATATTTAGAGACGAAACTGAGGTATTTTCCAAATATATATAATTCCTTACTGTAGAATCAAAACCTACAATCGTCCGAAAGTTGTAAAACTTGCTTATAGAGATATACTCTATAAGTAATATAAGTAATAAGTTATAAAGTATATTCAAAATATGTAGATCAGAGTTTTTAACACTTTTATAGTACATTTGATGTGTCTGAAGTGTTTTAAAATATGATTCCCATATGGAAGTTTGAAAATACTTAGTAAAACTATTGTTTACTTTTATAGAACTATAGTTGTTTCAAAAGAAGCTTCATATATCGTATATTACTATAGCAACTACAGGTATAACTTATAATTATAATTATTTGAAATATTTTTGAACAAGTAAACCTCTTTCTAAGTAAATCTTTTTTCTTATAAACTGAAATTTCTTGAAAAGAAGTCTTACAAATTTTGAAAACCATTGAATTCAAAGAGCCATAGTTAATAGTCAACCATAGTTTTACTGGAAGCATTATTAGAAATGGTTAAGAAAAATGTTTTTTTTACGGTGGGGACTCCCCTTGGCCAACAAAAGTGTGATTATTTTTGTTCGACCTCTAGTTCTTCCAATTTATTCCTAGTTCCTCCGACTCTTTGTAGGTTGGTTAGAACCTATAATTCCAAGTTTTAGAGTTCAGGAAATTCCCGTCTATGACTAATACGCCGTAATGTGAGAAAATGATACCGCATTCAAGAGATTCGTTATGATTTTCATAATTTTAATGGGCATATTAAGGCCGCCTCCCTTAATTAGGCAAAACATTCGACTTCGACTGAATCCAAAATATTAGAGAGGAGGGAGAAAAAAAATACAAAATCGATATAGTAGTGACTGAGGATGGTGTTGTGTGGGGAAGGGGGGCGGACAAACGGCAACGGAAGAGAAACCCTAAGAAATCTAAGAAATCTAATATTGGATACAATAGATACAAGCCGACGCGACGGACCCGTTCAGGTCGCATTATTCACACATTTATTCCCCCCAGATGATGAAGAAGAAAAAAATAACAAACCGATCGTCTAATTTCAAAGCGGCGGCTATAAATTAAAAAATCTGAATAAAACGTTGACTCCTCGCTGCTACTTTGTTGTTCTGTTTCCAATAATTTGCATATGGTTTGTTAGAAGCAACAGAAATTAATATGCAAGTCTGCCGTCTTCTTTCGTGTGTTCGTTTTCTTGGTTTTTCGGTTTTTAGTATTTTCTAAGATCGATTTGCTATTTATTCGAACAAGAAAAATTCTTTTAGCGAAAAGATTTAAGAATTTATCAAAACGTTGAATCAAAAGTTAAATTTTATTTTTTCTAGAGACTCCGGGAGAGTGTGTTTTCGGTTTGTTTGGTTTTCACCCACGCGCCTGCTGGGCTCCATGGCTGGATCTTTCGGCCTAGCCTAGATCCCCTCGATGCCTGAATGGTCCAATGCCTCAGTGTCTCAATACCTCAATGCCAATTCATTCATTCATCCACAACATCCGCCCAGCAGCGCTTGATTTTTGAATTGAAAGTCGCCAAGATCGCGTCGCGACATATTTGATACCTTATCGCAATATCCCCTTGGAGAGTGAGTTTTTTTTACTCGATTTACTTTTTTTGTGGATTTTTGCTCTAGGCTGCACTGGAAAAAAAGCGAAGTATGGTAGACCATTTATTTGGCCTTTTTTGATTGCCTTAAAAAACCTATGATTATAGCTTATGAATCTTATACATTGGAGGTTTAATATTTTGAAAGCCTTTTCCGACAATTTTTCTTTAAAAAACCTATTAATAGTAGGTCTTGCTTAGAAGCTAATAGTACATGTAATTACCTGCCAAATTTTCGTATTTAAATAAAAAGATTGATGGATCCCATTTTCTTCAAGTGTAAAACGGTATCCATTGTTCCGCTTTCCTAGCACGCCCCAATCTTTCGATTTGATTTTGGCTTCAACTCCGACTTCGACTTCGGCTTTGAGTACGAGTTTCGGTGTCGACTTCAACTCCCACACACAACGGGGCATACCTACGAGATCGAGTATCTATATATCTGTGCGAGTGCCGTTTGCCTTTTTTTAATAATTTTTTTTTCCCAATTTTTTGTATGATTTTTTTGTTGTCATCTTTTGTCAATCTGCTTTGGCGTCGCCTCGCCTCGCCTTAAGTGAGGTTTCGTTTCATTTCGTGTGGCGTTTCTTAGATATAACCATATATACTTCTATTTCATTATTTTCTGTGCCTCCCAATTATTTGTATTATTAATTTTTATCTCTCTTCACTCTTTGCTCATTACGCTGTTTTGCTGTTTGCTTCTCAAATTTCGTTGACAAAGCCATTTAAATAGAAATCACTCAGACGGTGCCAGACAATATCTATCTATTTTTTGGGTTCCATTTCCAGTTTCGACTTATCAAGATCACACTGACAATGCGTCAAGTAATAAGTTTTTCTACCCGTCCACCCGGGAATTGTTGTTGTTACGTTACTCTACTCTATTAGTTTATTATTGATTTATTGTTGGAGTGTGTGAGTGTTTTTTTTTATATTTTTTTTTTCATTATTGTCCACTGTCCACATGATGCAATCATTTGTCCAGGCCACAAAAAAAAACCAAAACAAGCGCAATTCATTCAATACTTTTTCCCCCACAATTGGTTACTATTTTTGTCCAGGTTTTTTGAATGGAATCGTAAGAAGCGAATGATGTAAAGGCCAGAGATTTCTTGAATTAAAACAATTTTATGGAAATTTATTAGAGCATTGTTTGGAAATATAATGGAAGGAAAATGTTTGTAGAAACCGTTTTTAAAGAAACTAAGATTTTTAGATGTTTCGGAGTGTGACACACTTCATTTACTAGATTTAGAACAAAATTTATTTATTTTATTGCTTTAGTGAGGAACTCTAATAGAACTTTGACAGAAATGGAATGAAAATTTGACATTTTACATTTTAATTAAAGCATAAAATAGGTTAAAATACTTTAAAAATAACTAACTAGGAATATTAAATGAGACACGCGGAGATACGGACAATGAGGGTTTCAAGAGGGTTTTAAAACTAATATAAAAATCTGTATTTAGATTTGTATTAAAACATGTTATTGTATTAACTGGTTAAAATAAACTAAACAAAACCTAGCTTACTCGATAGTTTATAACCAATTTTATAATAGAAGACGGACAACCGGACTAATAAATAGGTCGTTTAACCTTATTTCAGCCATAAATTGAATCTTTATAAATCGTAACGCCAGATCTAGATAAGGGAAAAAGGCAATCTACTCAATTGCTTAAATGCATTTATAATTTATTGCTTAACCCTATCCAATTGCAAATTGTTCGGTTAATGAGAAAGCAATTAAAAAAGCCACAAAAGCAATTTGTTAGCCGGCCAATAGTTTCGCACAGTTAAGGGAGCTCGTTTTGCGTTAAATGTACATGGTTTTTTTAGTTAGTTTATATGGGCAATAGATTAATTTGATTGAGCAATCTGGCTGGCATCTATTAATTACAGAAACTGCTGTTCATGTGTCAATTTTATTAGGTAAATAATAAATAATTTGCCGTGCGATAAGCGAAAATACAAAAACTAATTAAAAAGATACACAGATACACACGACACTTGACAGTGGAAAACTTGTCTCCGCGACAGAAACAGTTAGTTGGCTTGGATTTCTAGGCCATAGACTCGCACTTAACTTATATCTGGTGATATCAAGAGATACTATACTATATGTTTGTGCGAATGGTGGCTTTTTTAATGCGTCTTAAACTTGTCAAATCTTCACACTTTTTCAATTATTTGGCACGTTGCTTAATTAAACTTCAGGCAACGTCAACGTCAAAGTCAGTAGCCGGGATCCACATCAACAGCCTCATCACAATCATAATCGTATAATCGCGATCCTACTTCTCCGTACACCGTATGCCAGCAAGGTTCCGCCAGCATTTTCACCAAAGCGCTCTAAAATAAAATAAGTAAATATAATTTTATGCGAAAATTGCAAATTTAAATGTCAAAATGCATTTGCGTAGAAATGACTGACTGGGATACACAAGCAAAAAGTTACTAACAAGTTTAAACTTTAAAGTTAAAAGTTTAAGAGAAATAAAGGAGGTAGGAAATAATACGTAGGAAAATAGGCCTACAAAAATATAAGCCCTCAGCGGGGTTTAAACTCTATTGTTTCATTATCTTTCAAATAACTTTGTAATTTATTTTTTTTTAGAATACTTATAGCATAAAATAGTTTTTTTTTTTGTATTTAAATAAAATTTAAAAATGCTTTAAACTTATTCGTCTATGCTTTTCAATTTGAAATTCTTTTGTTTATTTAAGAATGTTTTTTTTTTGTGTAACAACTTGCTGGCCAGTTACCGTGTTACCTGTTTTCGGGACGTGACTGCTGAAGCTGCTACTTCGGCTACTTTTGCTACTTGGACTGCCTGCTGGCTCATTCTTTGTTGCATTTATTAAGTTGCATTATTTCCAAAGAGACAGACCGACAGGCAGACAGACGGACAGGCTTATTATGCTAAACCAGAGAGTCACTCCAACTCAGAAACTCAAACTTGAAGTCCGACTACTCGTCTAGTCGCTATATAGCTTCTCATATGTATGTATGTACATACATATATAGATTCATATTCCAGTAGCTGCGGCTCAATGTAAATGAGCCTGAGAAATGCATTTTTCATCTGCCAGTTCATCCATCTCTTTCGCTTTTTGTGTTTCTATCTCTTTCCACAGCCCACTATGAAAATTTAGAGCCTACACTAGCGATCATAAGAACTTAGGAAATATTAAAGGTTTCTTTTTTAGTTTGTTTTCAGGGAAATATATAGATATGGTTATTCAGATTTGAATTTAAAGCTAGGAAAGTATTTTTCGATAACTATAGTTTGAAGTTGAGAAAAGTTTAAAATGAAACGGTACTCCAGGGAAATATTTTATAAGAAAAATAATTTACAGTCTATTTAATAATGAAAATAAAGTAATTAAATCTTAAGAAAGTTCGTTAATTTTTTTTTATCTTTCATCCCAGGAAATTTAATTTCAAACCTTGCGACGGCTTACATTAGTTTCCAAACTTGTATGTTTCTCTCCCAATGTGTCCAATCTTTTTAGCTTTTTTCGACTTTAACTATTAGTGGTTAAGAAATAGATTTGTTAAGAAATAGGATTTATGATCTGCTATCAATTGTGGTGCTCAGGGTGGACGGAAAATGTGCAATATGCCCGGGCATATTAAGTTGTTATAGAGGTTGTTAAGACAACTAATAGCTGCGACTTGGAGAAACTAGAAACATCTACTAGGAAACTGACAGGTTAGCACTCCTGACAGCTGCACCGACCAGCCTGATGGCCTCTGACTGACCAACTAAAAATAAACACATGAATAGTAATAATAATAGTTATAATATGTGTGTTAGTCAGAGTCAACAGTTAGTGGACTATGACCAAAAACTTATGCAAAGTCCAGTCATTAATCAAATCGAAAATAATAAAGAGAGTCGGAAATCTTCCCATGGCCCCGAAATGAACAGTAGCCAGAGTGGCCAACAACTTGGTTCGATTTCTTTTCGGTTTTTGGTTTTCGACTTTCCCAGTTGCCAGTTGACGGTTGGCAGTTGGTAGTTGCCAGTTACCAGTTCCCAGTTCCCAGGGACCCGGGTGCCATTAGAGATCGAGAAACAGCATCATCAGCCAAGCAAAACACTTGGATGTGCGGGTTTCGGATCGCCTTTTGGGTTTTAGCCCCTTTGACAGATATTACGGTAGCAATGAAGGCACTGAGAGAAATTTATAAGCACTTAAATAAAGGTTGAAGCCATTAAAGCTCAAGAAAACACCAAAGACAACCCAGAGGCCTATAGTTCAAGATTTTTTTAAGCGAGTCCTACCATGAATCTCTCTGAAACTTTCCAAATCTTTGTATTAGAAGCCCAACCATAAAATCAAATAAATATATAGTCGAAAAGTAGACTTTTTCTTCCAGTGTGTGCCATCTTCAAATTGGTAGCTGATATTTCTTGACTTTATTTTTTTTTCCTCGCGGCTGTTGTTTACCAACCAAATATTATTTTGACCGTAATTACGCTCGGACAAATGAATTGTGGCTTATATCTACAATGTGTATAAGCATTATATCTCATCACTATATGGAGGAAATTGAAACTGAAAGTGGTATCACAAAACCATACGAAATCCCACCAAGAATCGGACTTTGAAAATCAAAAAATTGCCGAATGGCATTTATAATGAAAGTGTCTCGAAAATCGTACGTGATATATTTCGAGTTCAAATGATTTTGTCTCGTCTCGTTTTGGTTTTTAGTTTTTGGTTCACAATGGATCTCTTTTTTTTTTTTAAACCAAAAAAAAGAAGAAGGAATATAAAAAAAGCCAGCGGGCCGCCTTCTCTTCTCGTCCCTCTTTTTTTTTTTTGCCATTTACCATGATTTTTCATAATCAGCAGCGAGGGCGGCAGGGGCGGGACTGGAGGACGGGGCGACCCCCAGAGGCAAATGTCTAGAAAATCACGTAGAGCCACAAACGTTCCCGGACTCTCGATCACCGGCGATCCCAAAATCCCAGGTTGTCTCCGCAAACCGAAAATGTGTCACATACTCTTTCGACTCTTCGACAGATGTTGAGAGTTTCTGGGTTTCAGCTTTTCTTTATTTAGTTGTTCTTGCGGGGACATTTCTTTATATTAATAATTTGGTTAAAATTGGGTAAATAATAGGTAAACTAATAGATATAAAAATAGCTTACTTCTTACTTTAAATAGCAGTTGAATTTGTAGAAAAAAATATGAATAATCTAAAGAAAAGTAGTTCCATATTTATCTTCAAATGTTATAAGAATACTAAATATTCAACTAATGAATAATAATTTAAAAATGTATTTTTTAAACTATGAAATAAAAAAACTTGTATGAAAAACTATTTGAAAAACAAAACCAATTACAGATTTCTAGCTTATGAGCCACCGTTTATTTAAATTTTAGAAAAGCAGTTGCAGTATTCCCCGCTTAGGGAATCCTTTCGCTGGGCCCTGCCTCTGTCTCCGTCACCCTAGCGCTCGCTGTCTCTTTCTATAAGTGAATGCGTCTCCTTTTCACTTTTCTCCCCCTCCCCAGCCCGACCCAGCTCTCGAATTGAAGCCAGATGTGTTATTAATTTGCGTGTGCGCGTGAGCATGTAATTTGTGAAATCGATGGAAGGAGGAGAAAATCAGGAGCATCTCTCGTATCGGGTGCTATCAGGGTCGAGTTTTTTTTTTCAGGTTTTGGTTTTTGGTTTTTCGGGTTTTTGGTTTTTGGGTTTCAGTTTCGAATGCACGCACACACACTGGCACTGGGTATTTGTTTTTGCGGCTGCATTTTTGAGGCCCCGAATGCACTGAGCCATGAAAACGACATGACAAAACAAAACAAATTTTTACAAATTTTCACATGTGACAAATAGTTTGAGAGGGTCTTTGGCCGTCGATGATGGGCTCTTTTGGCATCATTTCGAAATGGAGGGAATAAACAATGAGTAGCAGGAGTAGCAGGCTAGGTGTTCGTGCTAATTCTGCAATTGGCATTCATTGGCCTCTTAACCTCCCAGATAGTGCCAGTTTTTTTCGCACGAAAACTGCCCAAAATATCACACACAAAGGCATCGGAATCTAATCCAGTTGCGCTATCTCTTTCTGGCCCGGCCAGTGCCGTCTCTGTCGTGGCTTAATCTTAATGCCTGTGGCCGGCCATTGTCCTGGATCAGTTAGTCCCTTGCCGCCCGATGTGTCCTAGTAAGTGTCTGAAATAATCCTGCGGCTAAGCTCAGATCAAAGATCTTTAAACCGCAAGATAAGTTTCTCGATTCTCTATATAGGTATTCCATATAGTCGTGTCTTGGAGGCGGTTGGTTGGGTAATCTTCCGGGTTACCATCCAAACCCAACCAGATTAGAAGTTTTTACATCATTCCGGACAGACCTCGGGATTAACAGGGCGGTGCGAGCGAGACGGGGCTACGGTGTGGGAGTGGGCGAGATAATATATCGTATAGGGTTTCCAGATATATATTCCCGAACCTCTTGCAGTTCTCCGTCAGTCTTGGAATGAAATTGGAACTCGTGGCAAGAGCTTAACCCACAACTTATCTTCTGATTTTCGTAATTTCCAAGCAAAGTGTTTGTTTTCGATAAAATTTGAATAAATACTGGAGTAAATTTTTGGTAGATAATTGAGTTATAGTGAGTGATGGCTGTTATTTTCCATTATATGTTTAAAAACCAACCAACAAGTGTTTGATTTGGGATTTAAGAATTGTGTCTTATAAGGGTTTGCTTGGGGGATTAAATATTAGAAAATAATATGGCTTAAAACAAGAAGTATTACGAGTAACAATTTGAAATATTTTTGCCTAAAAACATGTACCATATTTCAAGATTCATTTTAGTATTATAAATAAAATTCAAAAATATTACCCTCCGACTTACCTGCCATTCTAAAATCCTTTCAAAGGCAGGCCTTCCTTCGACCATATCAAATTCGTTTATGTAGAGCTTCCAAATAGTCGTAAATTAAGCAAATAAAAAGTTTTAACAATTTTTAAATATCATGGTTTTTTTTTTATAGATTGAAGAACAACGGAGAAAAGGCCAAGACTAAGCGGGTAAGCTAAACAAAAATCGGAAAACCAAACACACAAAAAAAAGAAATTCGAAAAACGCAACACGGATCACCGTATACGGTTAACGGAAGACGGAGGCCGGACGGAGGATACAGGATATATAGGTGGATATAGCCGACGGCCAGTGGATCCTCACAGCTTCAACGTGGCGCTCCATTCGACCGAGGCCTTGATGGCGGCCGGATTCCTCAAATCGGGCGATTTGGGCCCCCATCCGCACAGTTACGGGGGCCCGCATCCCCACCATTCGGTGCCCCACGGTCCCCTGCCGCCCGGAATGCCGATGCCATCGCTGGGCCCCTTCGGCCTCCCACACGGACTGGAGGCCGTCGGGTTCTCCCAAGGTATGTGGGGTAAATATCGCACGACAATTTTGGTATACGTCCTACATTTCATTCGTAAGTTACAAATGTGCTGAAAGTTATTAAAAAAAAAAAAAAGAATTCTCACTTGAGTAATCTGTAAAAAAAAGAGAAATTGCAAACATTTTTACACTTTGAAAAAAAGTTACGAAGCTTAGGCACTATCTTGGTTATTTCAATTAGATGTATGTACATAAAATTTAATAGTTTCATAATTTGGATTATTTGGTTCGAAATTTTAATTCTGAAAGTATACAAGCTTAGGGATATTTTGAGATACATGGGTATATGATATCATACCATATCATGATGTATTGAACTTTATAAATATTTTCAAATATATTCCTTAAAACATTTACAAGAAACTGAACAGATGAGAATATAAAGACAAAAATATAGCCATATTTTAGAATACTTTTTAGTAAAAAAGAAAAAACCTCTTCAATTTATAAACATTTCCCAGATTTGTTTTCTGTTCTGAAAACTAATTGAGATTTTTGTAAGGTCTCGACCAAAGAGTGGGCTTCCTCCGCGTTGTCTGCTTTCAGTTTTGAGTTTTTTTCAATGCCTTTCAATGTCAGTTCGCATCGATATTGCATCATTATCAGTTAAATTGTCAAAATGAATAATGAGCTTTGGGCGGTTTTGAGTCGCAAGAGTCGCGAACCAAGAGATACGTTTTTATCTGCCGGTTTTTTAGTTCGGATCGGTTTGGTTCCAGTTTCGTTTCGATTCGTTCGGTGACGCTGCAAATGACAAACAAAACCTGACAAAAATCACAAAAAATTGGCTACAAAATGCCAACAAAAGACTCTGCCATACAGACATAACATAAAAATTATTGAAAAAGCAAAAAAAAAAAAACCAAAAACAGTCGTTAAAAAAAAGAATAACTTCGTAATCAATTTGTTTGTTGGCTTTTAAATAATTGAGAGAATTTTTTTAAGGGGGTTATATAAAACTAAAAATTTCATAACTTGATACATTTTCAAAGTCAAATTCCTGGTAGCCGTAAAAAATATAAACTCTAACAAAAATAAACAATAAAAAATTTATGGGTGCAGTTAATTAAGCAAAACAGAAAAAATCACTCTCTTTCTCTCTTTCCTTCTATTAAAAAATATACAGAAAATTGCAATTAATTTAATGGATAAAAAATAAAATAAAAAGTCGGCGACCATTTTGAAAGCGAAAACCGAAAAACGAAACTGAAACTGAAACGGCAGCTGCAAAGTAGAGCCAAAGTTTTTTATTCAATTTATAAATTCATGACCGAAAATGACTAACTCATTAATTTTTGATATGGCCGGAGAGGGAGGGAGTGTGTCGGCGCGAAAGAGAGGGCCATAGCCGGGGTGTATTTGGGACAGGCTGGGAAGTAGGACAGAAAAGAAGGAAAACGAAACAGGGAGTGGGTAGTCTGGAGAGGGTGAGAGCGACCGAGGAGGGTCAGAACGCCTGAGAGCGAGGGAGACAGAGCCAGCTAACAAAGCAAACAATGCGGCGGCTTAGCTCACTCACACACACGTACACACGCACACTCGCATCCACCCATGTACATAATGTACTGAGAAAAAAAAGAAGGGAGTCTCGGGTTTTTGGGGCGGCTGCTGCACGGGGGTTGGTTCTCCCCCTGCCTCGACTGCCCCTTCTGCCCACCAACCCTACGCGAATCTTTTTAGGGGTTGGCTGTCGCATTTTTCGGGGGTTGCTTTACCACACACACACAGACACGAAGGGCAACAGAGAGAGAGACACAGACACGCAGGCACACAAAATAGCGGTAACGCCGAAAATAAAAACTGGGAACTCTCCCAACCCACACGTCGTATACTTGATATGTTTTCCAAGCAACTTTCAGCACATTTTCTTCAGGCAGTTTCTTTTCTCAAGACTTTATTTTAATGTAATATTTTTTTCGTATTTTTTAAATAATTATTAAAGGTGTAAACACAAGGAAACAACGTCGCGAACGTACCACATTCACACGCGCCCAACTGGACGTCTTGGAGGCACTCTTTGGCAAGACCCGTTACCCCGACATCTTCATGCGGGAGGAAGTGGCCCTCAAAATAAATCTGCCAGAATCCAGAGTACAGGTAAGATATAGAATTTTAATAACAAGAAAATTAAGTCATATCCAAAAGAGAAAAGCCTTAAAAGTCTAAGAGAACTTATCCCATTGAAAATCAAAATTGTAAAGCAGTTGCTTTTGCAAATAACTGAAATATTTCTTGAGGAATTTAGACGTTTTTTATTTTTAAACAAACCTAACCAGATTTATTCAAATTCTAAAAAATTTTAATTCTCCCAAAAAATAATACATAATACATAATTATGTCCATGTTAACTATAAGAAAATTAGCTTAACCTTCTAAAAATTCTATTAGCCAAGAAAAGGGGAAAAAAGCCATAACTTCTTTAACTAATTCCCTAAATCAGAAATTGTAATGTCTTTAATTTACATCTCCGTCCCCCAAAAAGGGCAAACATGCACCCAACACTTGCTGACCTGCTATCTCGTTTATTTATTTATTTTTTTGACTTTGGAAGCCCATTTGCCGCACATGTGAGCTTTTCCAGCCGCGTTAATGCCACAAATGCTGTGGCACACTTGTACAGTTGATTTAATTAGGCGAAAATGCCCTCGGAAAAGTGCCGGAAAAGCCATCACGGCGAACGGCAAACGGCGAACGCCAAATGCTGAAGAAAATCCATAAAACAAACAAATTACAACAGCTCGAAACAGATTGTTCACGGCATGGATGTACTAGGATATGACGGGATATAGGATATAAAACATATACACTTTTATGGGGGGTTGGTCGCAGTAGCAGTTCCTCCTTCACATATGGTATGATGGCGATGACTTTCAATGCAAATAGAGGAAAAGCGGATGCTTTTTCGAGAGTGGAATAAATTCCCCGTATCTCGTATTTGCGGAAAGTATTTGCGGGCTCTGACGACAAGTCACCCCTCGAGGATATCTGGGCTAGCTGAAAAGGACTCCCGGATTCAGTTTACCCAAGGCATTAGTCGAGCATAATTTGCGCTAATTTTTTAGCTTCAGACCAGATGAGCACGATGACGTTAAATTGTACAACTCAATTTTGTTTGGAAAAGCCTGAGGACGAGGAACCTTAGGAAGAGGCACAGGAAGAGGGATCGTTTCTTTATTTCACTTTCGTGTTTGTTTAGGTGTCCCTCGACTCTCTCGATCAGGGCCTAAACAAACAAACTCCCTAGCGCCGTTGGCCCAAATGCTAACTGCCAACTGCCAAATGGCCCAAACACACAGCCCCTTCTTCCGGTTTTGATGGAAAAAAAAAAATAAAGAAGAAAACTGTCATCTCCCGTTTTTCCGTAATTTCTTGGGCAAACACAGCCGCAACAATTGCTAACGATCGATCGTTTTGAAACTGCAGTGACAACCGAAAACACACACCCCAAACATTAAGCAAACATTATTGGCAACATTATTTCACAAAATTGTCAAATTGTCGAAATGTCACCGAGTGGAAGCATATTGATCCATCGATTTGTTTGCTTTGCTTGGCGATGGCCTTGCTTTGCTTTCCACTGCCTTTGTTCGTGTAATTTAAGGACGTGACATTGCAGGGTCAAAATCAGTAGTATAGGAACGAAAAAAATTATAAAAAATTGGAAGAGGAAGGAGCTTGTTTAAGATTATTTTAGCAAAGTTTTTAATTGAAAATAATATTATTAAACGGTAGAGTTAAGGGAATAAAAGCTAAAGAGTAGTTCGGTATTGATTCCTGGTCTTATTGGCAAAGTTCAAAGATAGGTTAGGATAGGATAGGTTTTCATAATTTAATTTCCAAAAACTAGTAAGTTTTGAAGTAAAACAAAGCTGAAACTAAAATTCAATATAGAAAATATTCATACAAATTCAAAATTCTCCTCTTAAAGTAAAAAATGCCTAAAAACTTAAGTATTCAAAAGTTATTGACATTAGCAGGGCCAGAGACTTTAAAGAAGCGCCCAAGAAGACGACCGAAGAAGCCCCTGCAGTGGTCGGGCTGAAAAGTGAAAAACGACACGTTCTCCTCCGAAGGGGGAAGACAGGCAACCAACTAGGAGCAGGAGAAGGCAGAGGTCCTGCAGCAAGGACACCTTGCACATGTCCCATGAATTGACTTCTCGCCCCCGTCTTCAGTCCTTTTTTATTGCTTCCTCTTTTGAAAAGTTACGTTTTTTACACAATTGATTCCCAAGTAATGCCACAATCAGGATAAGAGCGAAGGAGACCGAGTGCTATTAGAGAAAGAGAGCACAACATTTGTATAGATTTTCCACATGTTTTTCTTTTCTAAAAATAGTTGATTCAGGTTTATTTCTAGAGACAGTGGGTGGAAATGGGACTCGGCAGAGTCTTTTGTATTCTTCGGTACTACTTGCAAAGTAATCGCCGTTTTCTGACCCACTGTACCTGTCCCTGGCGATGTGTGACGCAACATGTCAATGCATTCGGATGCACATCCACACATCCACTCGCATATCAGATTACAGCAAGGAAAGCAAGGAAAACTAGGAAAAACCGTACAAAACCTCAAGCCCCACACGCCCCTCTCGAACCCCGTATGAAAATGCGAAAATGTGGAAATGCCAAAAAGCAAAGCGAAAAAGCAAAAACACAACACGGTTCGTTTGCATTTTACAAGGCGTCTGGCTTTTGGTTTTTTCTCTGGAACTTGTTGGGGTTTTTGGGGTCTGGTGGGTATCCATTGGGTAATGTCTGGGGGCGTTTCGGTATTGGGGTTTGGGGTTCCGTGTTAGTTTCCTACCTCGCTGTTTTGTTGTTTTTTAAAATGCAAGGAAGCCAAGCAACTCAATTAGCCAGACCAGAAACTAGACTTTCGGGGTCTGGGGAGGTAGGAGTTTTTCACTCGAAAGAGCTCTGACACCAATGGAAGAAAATACCTAGGCGGGAGATTCTATTTCTAGTGGGAATTTAAACTGAAGAGTTGCAAGTTTGAACTAAATTAAAGTCTTATTCCTATTCTTAAGCACTGTCTACAAAAAAATCATCTTTAAGCAGCTACCCATTTTTAGAGGTCACCCACTCATAGACCACCTCCGTAGCATCGCCTTTATTTGGGTAACTCAGTGAGAGACTCCTCACAGCAGGATCTCCATTGAAAGGGAACACCTCCTCGGCCTCCACATAAATAATCATTACACTCCGCCCCCCCCTCCAGAGTCCCTCGAAAGGAAGCAAAAGGAATCTGGAAACAGAATCAGAATCGAAATCAAAATCAGAGTCATAATCGGGAGACTGGAGGGCTTAGGCCTGGTAAATATTAATTGAATGATAGGCATCTTTATGGCCCAGTAGCACTGCCGGGGGTGGGTATTTCGGGTTTTTTTCTTTTTCCAGTTGGATGGGGAGGTGGGGGGTCTTATGAGTGAGTCGCCGGGCCCCTCGGTAAGTGAGAGGGCGTTGATTGCAACCAATACAAATAACGTAATAATTTTACGCAGCTTATCTGCACCAGAACAGAGCAAACATTTACGCCCAAATGTTTTCATTCGCCATTCGTCGAGGACGAACCAAGGGCGTAGAGGCCGTAAAGGGGGTTGAACCGGGGACGACGGCTGCCATCGCTCGGCAGTCATAAATCACAGTGAAAACCAGCAGCAGGGCCACAATCATAGCAGTCAGCACCCTTAATAACCATTTCCACATCCTAAACACTAGGAAAAATAATTTTTATTTTTCTAGAATTTTTGAAAAAGTCAAGAGAGAGTTTTTGAAATATTATTCAAAATATGAATTGCTATAAAATATTCAGCATAACAAGAATATCAAAAATATTTATTTGGAGTTATAGCTCTATACTAAATTTTCAAAACCCATTTTTCACGTTTTTTTTGAAAAAGTTAATTTTGGAAATATTAAAAGATATAATCTTTAAAAGAATATGAAACATATTTTAAAAAAAAAAGTTAAAACCTTTTATTTAAGAGCCTTTAGAACTTGAACCAACATACATCTAAGCATTTGAAACCCCTTAGTTTTTGGATCTGTGTAAGCCCTCTGTTTACCTTCCCTAGTATTGTCACCTCAGATGTCGGATATTTTTGCCACATTTTCAGCTGTTCATCGGCGATATTTAAGGGTTGGAAAACGTGAAAGAGACGGCAACAATGGGCGCCGGACAGAGACAGGGCTAGGGAGAACGCACCTAAACTTAGCCAACTCTTTCTATTTTTTCCTTCTATGCGCTTTCCATTTTCCCTTTTCAACTTGGCATTCCTTTTTTGTTTTGTTGCCAAAGGATTTGTCTGCCGACAAAAAAAAAATGACATAGGGAAGAAGGGTACGATGAAGGGGGAGAGAAAAAAGGAGGGATAGATGAAAGGAGAGAGCACAGGGAAGGGAAAACTTTTCGCTCACGCACAGCTGTTTTATAAAATTAATTTTCCCATTGCGGATTAACAATTTCCACTCTTTTTCGCCACCTTTTCCCTTTTATATCATTTACGCCGAACGAAAGAGACGGGCGACTGCTGCATATGGGGCTTAGAAAGAGACGGGGCGAGTTATGCATAGCAAATGCATAATTTTACATTTTCGTTAATGCCACATGGGGACCAAACCCACCAAATATGCATATTTTCGTACTCGGGCGGTTGGCGAAAATTAAAAGTCAGTCAAGAGTTAAATGGAAAATTTCGTGAGGTGGTTCTAGTTTGTTTTGTGTAATTCAATTTTTTGTATAAGGGATTATTAATTATAAAAAATTTTTGAAAAGGTCTTTTCTTACATCATTCATTGGCAATTGTAATTTTTATTTGTTAAATATATTATATTATTAAAGGAAAATTACTTTCAAACAAAAAACTAAATACCTATTCTCATTTTCGAAATTTAATTTTTTGTAAAATAATTTTTTCAACATATTCAAAGTATAAAATACTAAATTTATTAAATATAATTTAATTTATTGTCATAATATTAAAAATGAGTAAAATAATTAGAAATGTTTCACTTTTTTAAAAAACAACTCTCCAAAAAAGGCCAAACAAGTAGCCTGAGAATATGAGGATATCTGTTACCCAAGAGCCGGAAAACTTGAAATTTCGTCAAGTGTTTTCCTTAGTCAAGTGCCATTTTCTCGCTTTCCCAGTGTGCGCCTGTGTGCGTGTGTTTATTCGTCAGATGGAAGGCGTAGAGTGGGCGTGTGCCGGATGGCCGGCGGCTGCATTTTCCCACATCAATTAGTTTGCCGGGGCGGGCCAATGAATAAATTATACGGGGGCGGTGGCGGGGCTGCCCAGTAACAACAAGTGCAAAAAGTCACGCGCTCCTGGCAGCCCAACAACAGAAACAACAACAACCACATTCCTTGGGCAACCAAGAGAGGAAAAATTACATCAACAGCCGCCGGCGGCCAAAAATTGACTCGATTATATTGTCACACACACATACAGTCCTCCCCCTCTATGAGGGTCCCTTGTAAAACCACCCACTCGACCCGCCCACTGGCCCACTCTGCCGCCCGGAACGCATCCCTTTCGGGCCCGGAGACAGGAAGACAACAATAAACAGGCCATAAAGCGGCACACTCGAGCGCAAGGAATTCACTTAGCCCTGTTTGTTATGCTTAAGGGGCTGCAAACAATCCACTAAGTGCCAGGACTCCCGGTCTGGCCAGGACCAAGCCAGAACTAGCTTTTTTGGGGTGACATGGGAAGTAATCAAACAGGTTTTCGGAATTTCGTTAAGAATATATCTTTTGAGAGTTTAAATATCAATTTATTCTTCATGTATTTTATTTAGGTGAACACTCTAGAAATCATTTCCATTTATATGTCTTTTTAAAATTAACATTTTTTGTTAAAGAAGTATTTATTAAAGTCAAAAATAATACTAAAATAATCCTGTCCTACAAATCCCTTAAAAAACAAATCCTTTAAGAAAAAAAAGTTATTTCCAATTCTTCCAAAGTCTGGCTTCACTAAAACCTATACATGACACAGTTTCTACAGACTCTGATCTAGTCTAAAGAGCTAAACTCAACTGCCTTTCAAAAACAACAATTATTTTCAATACTCTCTCCGTGTGGCATCACTGGTGTCACTCCAAATCACAGATCAAGCAGTTGAAGCAGTGCATAAAGCTTAGGAAGCAGTCGGAAACCGCACTGCCTGGCAAATGTTATTTCAGAGATTTGTTGTTTGGGGTTGGTGTTGCTTGCTAATGGCTTGTGCCTTGGTAAACAGCTGAATTTATTACCGCCTACTCCCCCACTCACTCCGCCTACCCCAGACTCCCCATCTCCTTTTTTTTTTTTTTTGAAGTTAACACTTGCCACGCGGCTGTGGCCACTCGAGCATTTCATTGCCGTAAATGTATACTTCTCGAAGAGAGTTTCCTTTCCGAAATTCAATGGAGGCGGGGGCTGGGCACCCCTCAAAAAAAGAGCATTAAACAAGGCGTATCAAATTTCATTATTTGTCGACGTTGACGTTGACGTTGTCGTTCACCCCCTCGACCAAATTCAATTTCAATTTTCAATTCAATTTTGAATTTGGAAATCCCCTTTTGTCATTTGACTTTGCTCCGTCCATGGACTTGATTTCATTTTCAATTTCCCATTCGGGCCTTTGATATCGTTTAATGAACTGTTGCCAAATTTCATAATAATATTGATAACACTAAGCCTGGGAATTTTTGCAAATTTTAGCAGAAAATTTAGCCAACATTTGGCGAGCATTTTAAACGATAATGAACTTCAAAAGCCGAGCTTTTTGTCGAGGGGGCTGGTTGGGTGGACTTCAAAGTGATTTTTCCTTTTTATTTTCAAATTGTCTCGTTTGCGGTTTTGATTCATTTTCTGATTTTGAGATTGTCCAAAGGTGGGAGGTGTGTTTCCAAATTTGTAGACACAGGACTTGCTTGAATAGCCACGATTTTGTTTTATTGAAATTTTGGTTTATGGTCGATTGATTACAGGGGAGTTTTTTACTTTTTTTCCAGGAAAAAAGTCCCAGGGGGACTTGGGGATCATTTATAACCAGGATTAATATTTTAAACTTTAAAGTATGGCTTTAAAATTTTAGGGCTACCAACTTGGAATAGGCTTTAGCTTTCCTGTTTTGTTTAGAATTAATAAAAGTAACTTCCAAACAGAAATCCAAAGGCCAACTCATGTCACGTTCCCCAATTATTTTTATGGCGACCGTGACAGGTGCTGGCCTGAAAAGTTGTCTTCAGCGACCAAGTTCACTAAAACTCCATAAAAAATCAAAGTTTCTGAAAGGCTTAATTAATAAAATCTTAAAAAAAAATATCAATTAACTAAAACCCTTATTTTCTGTTTGTAATTCCAGGTCTGGTTCAAAAATCGCCGCGCCAAGTGCCGCCAGCAGTTGCAGCAACAACAGCAATCGAACAGCCTGAGCAGCTCCAAGAACTCCAGTGGAAGCGGCAGCTGCAGCGGCGGTGGCAGCTCCTCCAACAACCGCTCCAACAGCAACAACAACAGCTCCTCGCAGAACAACAAGTCCGGCGGTGGCCAGCAGAATAAGAGCCAGTCAAGCCAGTCCTCACAGGGCGTGGGCAGCGGAGGAGGCGGAGGTGGCAGCGGCGGCAATGTTGGCGGCTCATCCGGTTCCGGCAGCAGCAACTCGGCGGCTGCGGCGGCGGCAAATGCCGCTGCGGCCGTGGCTGCCGCCCAGCAGTCGATCAAGACGCATCACAGTTCCTTCCTGAGCGCCGCCGCAGCAGCAGCTGCCAACAATGCCAGCCAGTCAACCAGCAACAGCAGCCAGTCGAACAACGGCAATCCCGGCGGCTCCACGCCGAACAGCTCCAGCAGCAGTAGTCAGACGGCAGGTGGCGGAGGGGGCGGCGGTAGCGCTAGCCACGCCCATCTGTCGGCGGCAGCGGCGGCGGCGGCGCTGAATGTGACGGCAGCCCATCAGAACTCCAGTCCGCTGCTGCCGACGCCGGCCACGTCCGTGAGTCCCGTGAGCATTGTTTGCAAAAAGGAGCACCTGACCGGAGGCTACGGCTCCGGCGGAGTAGGCTCTGGATCTGGCGGAGGCCTGAACCTCGGTGGAGGCGTTGGCGGCGGCGTGGGCGGTGTTGGCGGCGTCGGTGGTGTTGGAGGCGTGGGCGGTCTGGGAGGCGTTGGCCAGGACCTGTTACGGTCGCCATACGACCAGCTGAAGGACGCCGGCGGCGACATCGGCGCCGGAGTGCACCATCACCACAGCATCTACGGATCGGCGGCCGGCAGCAACCCCCGACTGTTGCAGCCCGGCGGCAACATCACACCCATGGACAGCAGCAGCAGTATCACCACACCCTCGCCGCCCATCACCCCGATGTCTCCGCAGTCTGCGGCCGCAGCAGCGCACGCCGCCCAGTCGGCCCAGTCCGCCCACCACTCGGCCGCCCACTCGGCCGCCTACATGTCCAATCACGACTCGTACAACTTCTGGCACAACCAGTACCAGCAGTACCCCAACAACTACGCCCAGGCGCCCAGCTACTACTCCCAGATGGAGTACTTCAGCAATCAGAACCAGGTGAACTACAACATGGGCCACTCCGGATACACGGCCTCCAACTTCGGACTGTCGCCGTCGCCCTCGTTCACCGGCACCGTGTCCGCCCAGGCCTTCTCGCAGAACAGTCTCGACTACATGTCCCCGCAGGACAAGTACGCGAATATGGTGTAGAATCTACTGTTCCAGTACTGCAGCAACAGCAGCAGCAGCAATACCAACAGCAACAGCAACAACAACAGCAGCGGGGGCAGTAACTCCGGAAGCGGCAGTGACAGTTCACCCATCCTGGAGCAACAGAATCTGCACCATCACTACAACATCCAGCACCAGCATTCACACCAGCATCAACAGCATCTGCACCAGCAACACCCTCAGCAACATCACCAGTTGCAGCACTCGAATCTCCAGCAACAGCAGCAGCAGCAGAATCTCCACCATCAGCAGGATCAGAATCTGGATTCTACTTTTGGGTAAAATGGGTGCTACAGGTCACCCACCTGCAGATACATATCCCCCTGCTACATGGACAACCTTGAATGTTTACAGCCCTCAGATGCAGCTACCAAAAATGCCATTTGGTGGAATTAGTGCTAAATATTCCTAAAAAAAAAAAAAATAATACTTGACGGGCGAGTTTCGAACCCTTTACTCTGCACGACTCTAAGAATACTCCCTTCTTAGCACTGAAGCCACCAGAAGGCCTTTGAAGAGCAAACCCAAGACATTAGGGCTGATATTTTTTTTTAAACTTTTTTTTTGTAGTTAACGAGAATTTTTTTTTAACACTTATACATAGAAAACCCCTTAACATAGAAGAGTGTATAAAATATAGAAACGGAGGAGCGAAGTTACAAGTTTATACAACCCAAGACATAAACATAAATCTAAACTTATAGGTATTATAGATCTAGCATAAGCAGCCAGGATCAACGAAGTAAATGAGTGATAACATAAATAAAAAAAGTATAAAAAAATATAAAAAAATCCTTAAAACATTTGTTAAAATTCAAGCAGTAAGCTACATGCAGCAATGCAACTGCATGGCGAAGAGAAAAATTAATATATAAGTGAAGCGAGAAAGGTGAGGAGGAGGATTTTTAAATGCAATACGTAGACCATTCCATGGTACAGCCAGGGGGTTGGGGAGGATCCGAAAACAGGGAGGGATCCGAATGAAATAGAGCTGTTCGAAGACCCCGGGGGTGGTTAGAGAGAGCTCAGCATATCATAAAGCTAAAAACTTAATTCCAATTTCAAGTTCTTTAAACCAAACTAAACAAAAAGAAGTTTCAAGTTCAAATCATCATTTTGTCGTCTTTATATATATATATATAAAATAAAAACAAAAATCGATATTTATACATAACATTTAAAAAATATATATAGAGAATACGACCCAAAATCAGCTAAAAACGAATTAACATTTCAGACTTTAAAAGCAAAAAATAATAGAAGAAAGCAAAAGTATTTAGCAAGTAAGCGAGATGATGAAATTAAAAGCTAAAATCTTCACATACCCGATCGAAGTATATATATATATAGAAATATATATAGGAAATTTTATTGAAAATAAAAAAACGATGCCAGAATCCAAAAGAAGCAGACAGCATGAAAATATTTATAAAATAATTTAAACATAATTTTTAAAAAACGTGTACAAAAACCTAAAAAAAATACATGAGAAATTCTTGGGAAAATATATATATATATATATTATTGATATATATGTGTGTAAATGTTCTTCATAAAGTACGCTAAAAGATTTATAAATATATATATAACTAATTAACGAAAAACTTTTGTAACATTAAAACAAAAACACACAAGAGTTAGTTCAATGGACGGTTTTCTTCACATTTTTTGTTTAGTTTTAATTTCAATTTAATTGTAATTTAAGCTTAACAATTTGTTTAAAAAACACTCATACACAGCCACAGCCACACACACACCTAAACAATTACACACACAGACACACTCAAGAAGAAAGGAAAATGTAACGAAATCGAAGAATATTTAGCATTTAATTCTCTAAAACTAAGAACTTTTTTTTTCTGCGGGTTAAATTTTAAGCGAAAAACAAAAAGACGATGGAATGAGAAAAGATCAGAAAAAAATAAACAAAACTAGTTGATAATATTTAAGAGCGGATCCGTATACATAAATGTATGTATCGCTATATACATACACATTCAGCGTATATATATGCACGATCCCTATATATATATTATAAATAATTATATGCTAATGTTTAAGCAAACTGGTTAATTCTTTTTTTTTTTTAATTATAAAACCAAAAGAAAAACTAAAATAATTGTAAAAAGTTCACAAAAATATGATCAGATGAATAATATATATATATAAAGAAAAAAACATCAAATGGCGTTTTTATTTTTTTTTGGAAGGCTTAAAGGTTTTTTTTCAGGATTATTTCACGATTCAACGGAATTTCAAGAATGGTTTGTTTTTGGAAGAGAATGTTTTCTAATAAGAAAAATTGGAGTTTGCGTCAAGCTAACCTCAATTTATCTAGCTATAAAGCTAACCTTAACCTTACCTTTTGATTTGATATCATTTTCGGAATTTTTTCGGGTCGATTCGCAAATATATGTTTTTGTGAATTGAAAGCAGTGTTTACGGTTTTAGGTTTAATGGTTTCAACTCCATGTAAAAGTATTTATAACAAAACAGTATTTTATAGATATATTTGGATTAAAAAATTAATATAATATAGCCTAAACTTTAATTTCTTTTAAAACTTTCTTAGTAGTTTCAAGGATTAAATAGGTTCTAAATAACTAAAAAGTACAAAATATGTTTTTGTTTTCAATATTTGGTTTGAACTTTTTGATTTCTTGTTCTCTCCTTGAAAAACCTCGTCTGACAATCTTTGAGAAATCGTGTTCAAGGGTGTACCGCAGTAAAGGAGCATCTCCGACCCTATAAAGTATATATATTCTCGATCAGGAGTTGATATGAGCATGTCCGTCTGTCTGTTTCTACGCGAAATAGTCTCCGTTTCAAAGATATTGACTTGAAACTTGGCACACACCCTCTTTTCCTTTCCTTTGCACGCAGTCGGGATCGGGCGACTATATCCTATAGCTGCAATATGACTTATTGATCGCAAATGCCATAACATTTAGAGTTAGAGAGCTGCGATTTTCTATGGGTTCTGTTTTTTATAATATGATCAAAAAATAATACGACATTGTATATTTGAGATTTATGTATATACGATCGTAATTGCAATTACGGCTCCGCCCGCGTAAGCGTAAGCGTTCCTTTCTAGTTTTTATACCCTTGCAGAGGGTATTATAATTTTGTCCAAAAGTGTGCAACGCAGTAAAGGAGACATCTCCGACCCTATAAAGTATATATATTCTTGATCAGGATCACCTCCTGAGTTGATATGAGCATGTCCGTCTGTCCGTCTGTCCGTCTGTCTGTCCGTCTGTCTGTCCGTCTGTCTGTCTGTCCGTTTCTACGCGAACTAGTCTCTCAGTTTTGAAGCTATCGTCTTGAAACTTTGCACACACCCTTCTTTCCTTTGCACGCAGTATATAAGTCGGAACGGCCCGGATCGGCCGACTATATCCTATAGCTGCCATATAACTGATTGATCGGAAATGGTATAACTTTGGTGTTTTTAGAGTTACAGCGTTCAAATTTGACACGAGAGCTATTTTTGGCAACAAATTACGACATGCCAAATTTCATAAGGATCGGCCGACTATATCTTATAGCTGCCATATAACTGAACGATCGGAAGTGAACCATCTTTCGTGTTTTTGAAGATAAAAAGCTGAAACTTGGTACAGATTATATTTTTGGCCAGTTGATCCAACCTACCAAATTTCATTAGGATCGGCCGACTATATCCTATAGCTGCCATATAACTGAACGATCGGAAATGGTACTTGGTAGAACTATATACTAACTATATACCAACTATATCCGATGTTTGCGATATATATCCGGTTTTAACTGCAAGGGTATATCTACTTCGGCTCCGCCCGAAGTTAGCTTTCCTTTCTTGTTTTTTTTTTTCATTTAGTTTCTTTGAAAATTTCAAAAAGATTGGCTTAAAGAATCTCTTTCGTCTTCTAAATATTTTTAAAAAAGTTTAAGTTTTTTCTGATTATTTCATAATTTTTATATGAATCATATCTCTATTCTGTAATTATGTTTTTATTATTTTTCAAGTATTTCTTGTACCTTTCCCCAAAAAGTTGAGTCATAATTCTCGGCCACCTTCCCAAGCGATACACACCTGATAAATAACTCTGGAAGCCGGCAATCTTTGGAATTCGGTTTGGCAAATAAACTCGATCGCCGGCAGCTTCCAAAAAGAACATTCCAAAGCCGGACATGGACCAATCGCTTTTGATTCTCCTTTTTTTTGGCAACTCCTGTGTGAGATTTTGTTTGTTTGCGCATTTATTGGCATCCGTGGGGCACGCGCCTTTTTGCCTTTTTGGTTTTTTCGGTTTTTTGATCGGCTGTTGGGTTCCTGGATAGCCGGATTCCCGGGTTTCTGGGTCTCAGGCTCAGGTCTCAGGTTTTTGGCTTCAGTTCGCGGCTTGTGGCCTCCGTGGGTATCGTCGGCTTCTTTCGAGCCACTCTCTGATCCCACAAAGGGGAAAAAAGCCCTTTCGACCGTCAGCGCCTTGACAACAATTGTTAAGGCCTCAGCTTTGACTCCAAAAGCAAAACGAATCTGAAAAGGGAGAGGGACAGTGGAAGAACAAGGACTAGGCGTGGCAGGGCAAGCCAGGGCGAGTCGGCCATCATCATCAAAAACCATTAATTCGGCTCATAAAACTTGCCACGCCCCGGCCACATGAAAGGACTCTACGAAGAAAGGTCCGGTCTCCAAGGAGGCAGATATATCAACCTATATATTCACATATCGCGTATCAGACACACGTATTTGTAAATCAACCACCTGAACTTGGGTCACTTTGTGTCATTTCCCGAAAGGTGGTGAACTAAAAAAATAAAGACTTTCAGTTCATTTATCTACGGTTCTTGTTAAAGGTTCTTTATGAAAATATAGTGCTTATGTACATACATAATGGAGATATTGTAGAATATAAAAAAATTTATATGTATGGTGTTATACGACAATTCTTAAAACAAAAATATTTTTGATTCCATCCTAAAAAAATTACTTTGTTTTTAAATTTCGACATTTTATAGCTATTGTTATTGGCAAAACAGAATTCCTTATAAATTTACATATTCTCTGATTATCAATTATTTTTCACTTAATATTCAAATTAATATCATAGATCATTTTTCTTTTACGATGTTTTGTTCTCCATTTATGAACCTTGCATGAAAGTCAAGCTTTTAAAATGTAAATATATATGCTGTAACAAGTTTAGTTTTAGTAATTAAGTATAATTAATATGAGATTCCTTAAAATAAGAAAAAAATAATTATACTTATATTTTACATATCGTCTGTTTCTAAGTTTAGGTATAAGTTCTACTCATGTATCTCTCATATGTACAGACCATAAAGTAATATTTTCAAAGTATTTCCAAGATTATGAATGTTATAAAAAGTATACTAAGGTTTTATATTAAGGATATAATACTGTAGTTATTAGCCATTTAATTTTAATTAGTACATTTATGAGACACTCTCGGTTATAAAGTCATGCAGAAAGTGAAGTGGCTTCGATAAAATCCTCGATTTACCTTGCCTTTTTAATGAGAAACGACTGGAGAGCTAATCCGAGCGCTCGAGGAGTGCCCGAGTGCCTATTATTTTCGATTAATTATGTTAATGAAAATGCTGGGAAATTCATTTGCCATTTGCGGCTAATTGTCGCACCAGTTTCTGAGCTCACGAGCTGGTGAGTGGCACGTGCCCGGCCAAATCAGATTTCGAATCGAATTTATCTGCCAGATACATCGATTCCCAAACTTCTCAAATAGCCAACCCGCTTTATATTTGTTCTATTTTTCTTTTTTTTTTTGTTGTTGGCATTTTTTCCACCGACTACTATCTAGAGAGAGACACGCGACCGCTCGTTGGAGGGATTCCCATTGGCAGACCCATTTTCGTAGACCCCGTACAATCCATCTTCGTCATCAATGGGCGCGTGTTGCTTATAGAATTACCAACTAATTCGGTATTTATGAGGCTTCGTCGAGTGCATTTTGCGGGTCTAGGAATCGCCTGGGCTTCCACTTTGTTTTGGCTTTTGGGTGCTGAGTGCGGGGTTCTGGGCTCTGAGTTCTGGCTTCTGGGTTTGGGTTTTGGGGGCAGAAGAAGCCAGCAAATTGAGATGCTACCGCCCCCGGGCAGGAATTTGTTTTTAATCTTTCGCGTTGCGCCTTTTGGCGGCAGTGCTAAAATATATATGTATATATTGGAGGGTAAATAACTGGCAATCAATGATGAGTAGAGTTGCCCAATTTCAGGGCACATCCATTCCACACGTCGCCTGCCTCATTATTTTCCATTTCCTTCCCATTCGGGGTGGAATATTCTGTCGCCTGTTCTGACAGGACTCGAGATATAGAGGTTTGTCGAAAGATGTTCCTGGGAAGATAAAACCTGGGCTTGCTCCAATAACAGCCAATTAATTCCTGGGAAATAATTAGCGAAATCGGGCTTAGATTGTATCAGTTTTAATGGTTAGTTACGGAGTAAGTTTGAAAAGCATTAATTGAATTGATTTGCATTTTCTTAAACAAATTAAAGTTTTATGATAAAGTGACAGTATTCTTCAAAATATTTTAGTTAAATTATTATTTTATATTTATGCTACAAAAATGGTCTAGTTTTGAATTCCCAATTTAGATAGACAGATAGTCATAGACAGTATTAGTCATAATAGTAATTAATAAATACAAATAAGAGTCTTTTTAGTTGATAATAGAATATCAGTAATTCAAATATAAACTAAAGTTTGCTTAATTTTGAAATAAGAAATTATGAATTCATAGTAATTTGAAATCACGAAAATATATTGCTTATAGAAATTGAGATATAAGTTACTACATATGTATATTAAAAAAAATTAATTTTATTTTTATATTTATTAATGCCTATTAAAACTAGGGATATTTCAGGGGATAAGTCCATTTTCGTGCCACATTTTCTAACCCCATCCTTTCCTACGAAAAGTAAAGTATGATTGCGATCAACTGAGCCAATAATATGTTTTCAATTTATATCTAACAAAGTAAAAGATACAATTGAGATAGAGAATATTTAATAAATAAATTGGGTTTACTAATATCAAATAAGATTTAACTGCTCAATTTCAGAATGTGAGGATGGCTAACAAATTCGGCAAA